GGACAGTGCTGGGGGCAGGGGCCGCGCACAGAGCCACTTCCCCTCCCTCCCGCCCCCCACCAGGGGCACGCAGAGATATGCCAGCAGCAGCTGCCCACTTCCGGGAGTGGTGTGGGGCCACGGCATGCAAGCAGCCTGCCTGAGTGCCCCGCTGCGCCACCAGAGTCATGGCAGGCCAGACAGAAATGTTAGACGGGCCAGATACAGCCTGCGGGCCGTATTTGGCCCACCCCCGCCCTAGGCCCTGAAGATGGAAAAGATCTTAGGCTTGCCATATGTCCACTGTAAAAATTGCTACAAGGCACCAAAAATAGCATTTTTATAAATGGAGGTTGATTCTTACAAATTCCTTGGTATACAGAGCTCTCCGTGACATTGTGTTATGCCCAAATTAGTATTTGACAACTATAGGTACAACTTCCAATTGTCATTGTACATTGCTTTGGCATTTCTTATATTTGATATCAAATGTCCGAGAGGGAATAGAAATAGAGAACACAAATATTCTGTTTGTCAGAGTTGCTGAACAACCACCCTTACCGTTAATTTATTAGCATTTTCATCTGCTCAAAGTCACAAGTTATGAGGAATGCAAACCAAATTCACGATATACAGAAATACATAGACAACAAACCATACACACATGCAAAAATCAACCAAAACTAAATGTAAACACTTCTAAAACGTAAGTGATATGACACGAGGGTTATTCTGTTTGATGCTGTATGTTCTAACTTAAAATGTGAAAGTTCATAGGTCAAATTAGTTCCTGGTGTAGCTGCATCGAAGTTAGTGGGGTAACAATAGTGAAGAAATTCACTCTACGGGTATCTGAGATGATGGAAAACAATAAGATTTATATACACAGAGCTTGATTCTCCTTTCCTTTACACAAGTTCAATGCTAGTGTAACTAAATTGACTTCAGTACAGGTAAGTAAAAGGTGAACAAGATCCATGAGACGCACTGTCTGAAGCTGGTGGACTAAAATTTTTTTGGAACTCTACAAGCAAATAAGACTGCAAGGGTTTCTTTGTGTGACTATTGTTAGTCTGAAAGATTTAAAGACAATCACAGACCTCATTAAATCCAACAGTGTGCCACACTTTCAGGCTCAACAGAAGGAACAATCAATCCCCTTTATGTAGTAAGAACAGCTGAGGGCTAAGGGGGTGAATGCCCAAGGCACTAGGCCATGTGGAAGGTCAGAGCTAAGCTGTGTGCACTGAGGGGTTTCGCTGGTTGCAAATGCAGGGCCTGAGATATCATTTGTAGGCTGAGTGCACTAGAGGCAGAAAAAGCCTGGAGAAGGATTTGTGAGTGTGACCCTGAGAGGAAGCAGAGAAACAGGGCTTATAGGGTACAGAGCTCACTGGAGTGGCGGATTTGGGGATTTCTGAGCAATGAAACTGCTGGCTGCTGCTTGTTTCTACTGTGTTCAGGAAAACAAGAAACAAACTTACAGCAAGGATATACCAATTCTGGATTGCCGATTTCTCATCCTAATGGAAGCTACCCTGCAAGGCCCTGGATTTTGGCTAACTGCTCAGGCAAAAGGAGAAACAGTATTTTCTTACTGGAGTTTGAACCAGGAGCAGCAAGTGCATCCAAAACCAGGGCCAACCATAACAGTATTCTGTGGCATCCATTGAAGAGCCAGCATGTAAGAGGGCCTACTCCCTATCCATCCCTACCCTCTATTGGGTGAACTGCTCCTGAGAGAAGCATCAGTAGCCTCAATCTGCTCCCACAAGCACAGAGGGTGCCATTCTGATTAGCTCTTAAATAGGCCATATCCTCCCCAACACTGCATAGTTGAGCATGGGCCAGTCGCTTCCAGTTCACTACTATTATATGCCTTTGTAAGTCCCCCATCACTGTAGTATCTAGGTGTCACTGTTTGTTCTGTATCTGCCACCCTTATATGCATTGTGAAGTCTGTGTTCTATCTGCTTGCACATCATTGAATGTACTTTTTATTGCCTATATCTAAATGGTTCTGGGATTTGGGTTTTCTGTAATTGTGGGGGCATTGTTCTCTATGTTTCCTGTATCCAAACAGTTTGTGGAATGTGCGTTTCCATCCTTTGTATCCACATATCTACCTTAACTTTGTGACTGTATTTAGTGCTTCTGGATTACCCAAATAATTTCTAAGTTTCCTTATCAAAACTCCTACTTGGTTCCATACCTAAACCAATTAATTTCTGGTTGTTGTTTCAGTGGTCACCTGTGAAAAATTAGCAATACTTAACACAGAGCAGTAAGCTGAGGAAAATCCCCTCCACCTGCCCCCCCACCACAAACATTTTCCGTATACGGAAAATATGAGATAAGCATGAGAAGTGTTGACATGTTCTGACTTTTTAATGGCTTCCACTCTGCATAACCAAACACCATCAATGAAAAATAATAACCCAGGATCAACTTCTGCAGTCTTTATTGAAGCAAAGTTTATTTAATTTACCTCTAAGCTATTGAAGTAAGAAAGAGTTTGCTTCAAGTAAGGACTAGAAAATTTGGCCCCTAGACAGCAATCCATTTTTCCAGAGGGACAGAGGGACTGTATATTACTTTAGGCATTTTAGTGTTCCACGTAGCAGTCATGAATTTTCACATTTCTCAGGGAGCCAAGGAGACCTCCATGACAGTGCTATATGATTCATTTTGTTTCCTCTTGTTACAATTATTTCTGTCTTTTGGGCCATCATTTTACCAATTTCTCTGTCACTTTCACAGAAATACTACAAAATTTCAGTTAATCCAAAATACTGCTGCCAAAATCATCTTCCTTGCTTGCATGACAGTTTTTAATCCCTAACTCATACAAAGTTATTTGGTGGAACTTGTCAACAGAGAGAAGAATAAATTAGGTTTCACTGTCACTACTTATTCACTTAACACTTATTTTGAATGTTTAAATGTGTCAGGTTTACAGGTCAACTCCCCGGATCCCTCTTATAATAGTAAATTGTGAGTTTTTAAATGCAGCCACTCTATACGCTTTTCCCTCCATTGTTTTGAAGAAAGCAGATCCACAAGTAAAGGGAAAACATAAAAAGCAACACTGTTTTCATAGTGTTTAACACTAATACAGGGCTACATATAAATATTCAAATCTACAAAATGAAAACTGAACCTAAATTGAAAGAACAACAAGAAGAGATCTTACTATAAGAGCCAGAATTTAAGTAAATACAGGAATATCAAACTAAAAATGTATTAACTCTTAATGATAACGATTTCCATAATTGAAATCACAAACTAGATCAGAAATTCCAATCCATTCAGCTCTTTAGTCTCTCAGAAGATTAGCCTGGGATTTTCCCTCAGAAAAAAGTATGGAAAGTATATCCAGTAAGTTTCTCTGGCACTGTTACATGGCTATACAACATTATCTAGCAAATAGCAATTGCAGCATACTGTTTTAATCATGTCACTTCTTCCATAAAACATTAATCCACCAAACAAAGAAATATTATATAATTTCATTTCAAAAGTTAAAAAAAGGAATACCACTTGGTCTTTCTATTTAAATCATATGACCGCAGGGCCCAGCTCCTTCGTAAATTTTGTATGGCACTAAGCACAAGATTCCTATCCAGATAGTTATTTTTTTTAACTGGGATCCTGGTTCTCAATTAGATATTAGTATTGTAAAGGACTGAACAGATATTCTTCATCCACTATAGCAGAGTCAGCCAGAGAAGAACATCTCATACGAGATTCTACATGCAGAGAACAAAAAGTAGGTATTAATTCCTAGAAACTAGCCCAGTAAAGCCACAAAGTTTTACACAGCATTGAACACTTAAAAGTGCTACAAGAAGTGCATCTTCTGATACTTTTGTACAGTAGAACAGAATTCTTAGATGAACTCTCTCAGCATATACACTGTAAATTGCAAATTGAGTGGAAAGCTCTTATTTAGAGATGGGCCAGAAATTCAAAGTTTGGATAGAACTTGGTTTCCCAAAACTCGGGTACATTTCAATCCAGAGTTTTGGTTTGGGACCACTGATCCTTTTCATTAAAACATCCATTTCCCTTTGCTGACAGCTACTGCTATATGAGGTACTGAGCATGACGTTAACTGTACAGACCTGGGAGAATCCTCTATTTACTTGTAAGTTAGTTAAACAAGTATTAAATTAGTCTGGAACCTAACAGAAAAATAATATTTACTATTTAAATCTTGAACATCATGTTTTTCTTCTGACTTGCATTCACTTAAAGAGCATGTTTCTCTTAAATCACATTAGAGGCTGCAAACTGCATGGACTCCCACAGAAGCCCAGGAGAATTCCACTGTGAATCAAGGGCACTATTGAGGCAATCAAGTTATGTCTCATCAATCACACAATTGACTAGCGCTATTCAAAGTGCTCTATCACAATGCTTTCTTGCCCCCCAGAAAATATGTAAAATTAGTACTCCCAAAAGTTGTGGAGAAAAATGTTTGAGAAAAATGAAATTCCTATTACTCTCCATTGTCAGACATGTAAGAACTTGCGACTGGAAAGCTTGGGGTTTATAAATGAAATGACAGGTAACTACGCTGGTTTCTCCTAACCTTCAGCCCTGATTCTACAATCAGATCCATGGAGGCAGGGCCCTGACAATTACAGTGGGGCTCCACGTGGCCATGATGGTCCCTCTCAGCTGGCAGGATCAGAAATTTAAGAGGTTTTTGATGCAAGGATTTTTGGGTTTGAAATATCCTTAAGGACTCAGCTCATGTCTATTTCTATCCATTCCTATTTCTGAGTTGAGGAGGAGGAGATTAGTTGTCATTTGCTTTAGTGTTTTTATATTCTGCTTTTGAGGGAAGAGAGCAGTTTTTAAAAAATGTACCAAGTACAGTTTTAAGCTCCTGTCTTTCAGGTTTTGCCACTTAATCAAATCTAATCACATCAAAACTGAAAATGCTGAAGTCCAGTGTATTTCCTTTCATTAAATCCCTGATTTTTCATACAAATTTTCCAAAGGAGGGTACTTACTGGTTCAAGACAGGCGTGTATGCAGTTTTATCCTCATCAATGATGGTAACCATCAGAGTAATGAGCTGGGCCCAAAAATCCAAATTCTTAGTGGTTGGTCCCTGTTCTTCCCGAGGAACTTCCTGCTTCTTACCCTGTTAACAAGATTTAACAAAATGCAGGGAAAATATCTAAATGGTGTGGTTTCAATTATTCATCATTGCTAGAGAGAGAGAGAGAGAGAGGACATATAGTACTCTGCTCCCAATTCAGGAAAGAACACCAACATGTTTCACTTTAAGCATGTGCCCAAATCCCATGAATTTAAACACATTCTTAATTCCTTTGTTGAATAGGAATGGGTTAAAATGCATTTAGTGTTTTACTGAATCACAGCATATATGGAAATACTCATGTACAGAGTAAGTGTTATATCAGATAACTTGAAGCAGCAATGTGGAACATTTCTTGTTTTAAGATTCTGAATTTTTTGCAATAAAACAGATACATATAAAATAAAATTTAAAAAACCAGAAATCTATATATCTTTTTGAAAATGAAATCATCCTTTTTCATGAATAACAAATCTGGCAAATAATAAAGTCCCTCTATATTTCCCCTCATCATAAGCTTATATTTTGACCACTACTGTCTAGCTGGAAGTATCTATCAGGATTTTATTGCTGAAATAACTTTCACAGAGCATGCTGTCCTTTTTGCCTCACTCAGTTACACTTTCAGAAAAAAACTTTATCTCTGTAGTCTGGATTTAGCAAATTTTAATCTAGTCTCCCAAACAATGGAACATCTCAGCTCTTGGCTTTTCAGACACCGACCTGTACAACAGAGAGGTCACACACCAAAGTCAATAAAAATAAATGTGTTGCATAGAACCAAGTCACAGGAAGTTGCAAAGCTATGAGAAAGATAAAGAGCTGGTGCATGAAGTAATGCCTTCATGAACACCTATAATGAAAACCTCCACTATCTGTGATGGCACAGTACCTTTCAAATTAACCCCTAAGTGAGACACAATAATTCTGAGCAGGTTCAATGGTCATATTTTAAAGAGCTACTTGTAACTGCCCTACCTGGATAACCACATGTGGTGGTAGGGATAGCATCCTTCATTTGCTGGTGTGTGCATATGATATGTGTTTGGGCGTGCATGTATATTGCTTGGCTTCCTTGCTTTTTACCTCTCTCTCTCTTCTGTGTCTGGGTGATCTGCATCCCCTTCCTGCAACCCACCCAAAATAATACTCAAAAAAACCTCTTTGTCTACTCAGTCCAAACTCCTAGACAGGTTCACAATCCCCCTTTGTCCTAGGCTAGGGGCTTATCCTTACAGTTATGTTAACTGAAGACTAAGAGTTCACACCTATAAATCTCAATGAAGTGACAACTCAACCCATAACAAGGTTTCACCAAGCTCATATATATATATATATATATATATATATATATATATAAAAATAGAGAGAGAGAGAGAGAGAGAGAGATAGTTAATGCTTCAGAGAAAATAATGTTTTTTTGAATGTTTAAATGTACGGTATGTACTTTGTACCTTTTATTTCTTAACCAAACATGATGACATGAAAATAGACATTGTATCTCTTCAAACACACCTAGATTATTCTCATAATAAATTAATTCAATGTTAGCTTAACCCAGAAGTTTATCTATTAATGTAGAGTTGGGAAAGACAGAAATGGAATTTTAACAATGTGCAGTTATAATTATTTTGTGGTGAGCATCATGAAGTATATTAGAAAAGTATCATTAATCGCCTTCTTTTATACACAGCTGAACTTCAAATGTTAGAGCTTCTAAATCTAATGTGATTGAATTAAAGGAAATGCTCAGTAAAATTTACAATGTGTGGTGTGATTTAGAATGATCACTGACAACCTGCAATTGTCCTGCAAACAGAGGGACTTTTAAGAGAGACAAGAGTATTTCAACACTAAAGTCTTTCAGCTCACGTAGATTACACCTTCATAACAATGCCCTGCATTTTCAAAATTAGAGATTTATTTTTAGCACCATTTTCCACACTGGTATAAAATCTTTTACTTATCTTTTACAATACAGAGCCATTTCACATTTAGTAGGGACAGTCCATTAACACATTTCAATAACAATATTTCAGATAAACAATTCACAACAACATGTAGCTGAAACAATCCTTTGGCACAGATGTGAAAATTCTATGCCCCAATACACAAAAAAAGTGTCTGGTCTCTGTAAAGTAGAAATAGCATAAAGGTTGTTTTCTATGGGCTTCTCTGGCACAGAAATAGATTGAAATTTTAAATTAAATATTACTTTTAGACGTTTAAAATGTATTTAATTACATTCTCATGTTAGCGCACAGAAATTCCCATATACTGAAGTAAAACACCTCCTATAAAGCAAAGGACCAAACAATTACTACTCCATATGCTACAGTCTAGTAAAAATACACCATTTCAATAAATGCTAAATAAAACAAGAACAACAAAACCATTTAGCTCATATTTACATAGCAAAATGTCCATCTTTGTATGAATTATTGACACTCTTATTTAACAAACACTTGTCAGAGACTGTAAGAAACATTTTTAAAGGAGAAAAATGATACTATGATTTAATGCTGCTGTTGGGAATTAAAGTACCATATCAACGATGTCCTTGCTTAACAAGTTTAATTTCTATGCTGCTCTCCTGAAGCCTGTGTTCTGGTGACATAAGCTCAACATTAGCCTGTCATTAACAGTCAAGAAGTACACCCTGTCATTAAGTGGGAAGACAAGTAATGTTTTTCCTTCGATGTGCTCTTAGAAGACATTTGTCTGCTGCAATTTTGCTATTGTCATGACACAGCTAGGGCTGGTGCTGTATCTCCATGTCTATTTAGTTCCTAACAACATGCATTTTTCCCTTTTAGAAAACAACATCAAGTATAATACACTAATGGACTAGTAGTTGTGGGAGATACCTTTTATAACATCAAGATTAGATTTAATTTGTACATAAGCAGAAAGAGTGTTTACATAATTAACATGCAAGGTAATTACTAGAGTATAAACATGGGTAAATAGTATGATCTACTAACTGATAAAGGGAAATCTAAATGGCTAGATTAAAAATAAAGTTGCTGTAACATTCTTACAAATCTCCTTTTGGAGATGCAAACTGCAGACACAAAAGAGAAGCTCCCCTGGGGAAAATGTAAATCTAATATCGGCTGTACCCAACATCAGTTAGGAAACTGTGCAGCATTTACATTTATAATATCATTGAGATGCTGAAGTAGTATGAGACAGTGTATACGGCCTAATGTTTTAGAGAATGGCATTGTTATTAAGATCCAACTTTTTCTCTTAACAAGTTTGAAAGAAACATAAATCCAAAAATGAATCAAGACGACAACATCAGCGGTCCATAGATACATTGTACACAGTTTAGTGACCCTTTTAAATGAACAGTTTTCTAATTTTGCCTTCCTTTCATTTTGGAAGATACATTATTTATTGAATAAGTTTAAATCAGAGATTACTAAGGCACTAAGCAATAAAGGAAACCTTTTTTGGGTGCTGATCCCAATCCCATAATAAAAGTCTGTCAATTAGCAAAAGTTGCTTTCTTTTGCACCAGCCATAAGGAAACAACAAGGTATTAATGGATAACGTCACCGTCAACAATGGTATCTTTGAAGTGCCAAGGTAGTAGAGATACAAATAGGAGGGGGAAGTATCATAAAAAGATTTACACAGGTCACTACATCAAAAGCTCAATAATCCACGCATCCAAAGCAGACTAGTAGAATCCCTAATAGGCATGTAGTGTCAGAGCCCAAATACAACAAATAGCAGCAGATTTCTCACTGCTGAGGCATAAGATTATGGGATTAGGTGCTGCACCATTACTTGTGCTGATACCCTGTCATGACTCTGCTGAACTTTGAAGACGACGCGGAGTGTGCTATGGTTTTAGAATTATCCTTAATATAAAATGTTAAAAGCAGATATGGGCCCCAACTAGAAGTAAACCTTGGATCTTAGTTTATAACATCACATCTGAAATTAAGCTTCCGTCAGGAATTCAATATTATCAGCACAATAAAATACTAATTTGAACCACACAATGATTGCCTTTTCACTAACTTCCGTTGCACTCAGAAGATGTTAGGTTTGTAATTAGAATCCAGTTTCGGCATTAGTCCAAATTTGTGACAGTGAAAGCAACCTAATAATGATTTCCATAATAAATTGTTAATAAATCCCACTTATCCATCTATATCAGTGGTTCATAAACTGAGGTTCATTGACTACTTGTGGACTGCTGAGCTTTTGTAAATTTTGTAAGCATAGAGAGATGAATTACACAAATTTTCTTATATTACATTAAAGCTAATGCTTAAGCAGTCACAGGGATATGAAATAAGAAATGGGAAGGAGGTGATCATCACAATTGTCAATGGGATGTGAGGTGGCTCATGAGATGAAAAACTCTATCAAGATGAATTACTAAATGAGGAGATTCCTGCACTATATCATATAATCTTGTGGGTGCAATTCGATTGACTACGGTTTCAGTGTGAAAGCTGGATTTCAAAGGATTTCAAAGTCATATTCTCCTTACTCATTCAGAAGTTTTATATCATCATCATATAACTCCAGTACAATACAACACAGACACACTGAAGTGATGGCACTAGACAGTCTTGTCTCATATTTCACCAGTGTTTATGCCTGAGTATCTAGAGAAAGGCACAAAGCAGTCTAGCAAATTCAGTTTCTTAATTAGATAAGGAACACATTATTAACTTATATACACAGGCCCCAAAATTCCAAACGTTCTCTCAATCAACAGTCTCTTTAGTCTTATAGACACACCATTGATTTACACTTAAGCCTGTGCCCAGAATGTTTCCTCAAGGGATCATAAATCTGATCTGTAGGCATTAAAATTTATGGTGCATTCTTTAAATATGTCTTTTTATTTACTCCTGTGCAATTACTTACAGTTACTGGGTTGTACATACAATGGTGGCCTTATTGATAACTCTAACTACATAAAAAAGCTAAGCTATAGTATAATAAGAATAAGTAAGAGTTTATGAAAAGTTATTTGCAACATATTAAAAAGGGGTGAAATCCTGGCTCCACTG